AAGAAAGATTCAGCTAATACTTTTGCAGACTTTAAAATTTAAAGTGGAGATGGATGTTAAGTGTTTACACATCAACATGATTCATTTCAATTGTGGCAGTACTATGATACAAATAGAGAATATATATATAACATATTATATATATGTATATATATTAGGATTTTGAGGACTAAGAACCCAAACAACAAAATGTGGTCATGAGCATGTACAATGTAAGTCTGTTCAAAGTGGGTATGGGTCTTGGTAATAACATGCCAGAATGGAATGGAGTGAGGAGGCCAAATGGAGCGGGGACCATTGGATTTCAGGTAGGGAATAAAATGGGATTGATGGAACATGATCAGTACAGCATAGACAGGTCCATCCTGTGGGCCTCAAAGCCACCCAGAATGGTGGTAGATTTGGGGGTGACAAGAAAGGCAGGGCAAGCAGAATTGTTTCTGGCCATGTTTAGGCGCATGGAGCTAGTGCCTGAGAGTATATAGTTTACAAGTTGTAGGGCAAACCTAGAAATCTGAATCTAATTCTTCTGACTTTAACTTCAGAGTTAATTCTCCTTATATAACTGAACTCACAGAGCAGCTTTCTCAGAATGAAAAATAATCCAGGCCAATTTGAAGAAGGAACATCACGAAAGGCATCTGGAGTGGATTGGAAGTATAGGGTGAGGAGCAGATGGGTTCATAGGAAGGTGGAGGTTATGGTGAAACCCATCTTATCTTGGTCTACCTCTCCAATTTGCAGGATACCTTTTTGAATTCTTAGTAAGCAGCTGATCAGGTGCCTTTTGGCATGGTCTTTGATTTACACAAAGTAAAAGATACATTATCTCCTGGAAAAAAAAAAACCCATCCAACTACACAAACAGAAACTTTTTCAATGGTGTGGGTGGGTTTTGGATAGAGAACACAACCAGGGATCACTAAAACTATAAACATAATAATGAAATTCAGGCATCCATCCATGTTTAACAGAAAATTTTGGTCATTTTGATCACTTTGGGTAACAGTTTGAAAGACTGCTTAACAGAAATCAATGACAGGAATTAATGATGAGGGTGGGCACCATGCAGGAATAGACAGATTTTGGTGGGGGAGAGAGGGTTAGTGATCAGAGGAAGACCTGCCTTTCATAGGGCAATAGTTGTGTGTGTTATTGCAATCTGGTTACTATGTGTACTAAATATGTACACACAAATAGAGAAATTTATTGCATAATGTCTATGATGCTTCCTTACACTGAACAACAAATGTTTTTGGAACAAATTTGGCACAAACACAGTGTCCATACAGTGTCTTTGGTATTGGAACTTCTTGAAAGTTTATGATTAGCATAGACATTTATCTGGCTACCTAATTCCTTGCATAATTCTTCTTGAATAAAGTAGACTCTCACTACAGATTGCACAATTTACAGTCCTGGACAACGATGCCTTCATTATCCCCAGAACCTAGCATAGAGTTGGGTTTCAAATGCATGACAAATAAATGAATGAATGGATAGGTGGATAGATGGACAAAGAAATGAATAAGTGAATCTAGGGAATGAGACTCTTCCTAACTCTTTCTATAGAAAGGGCCTTGATCAGGGGTGATCAAGGTGATCAGGGTAGATGCTAGCAGGAAGAACTCTCTTTTTGGTTGTTTTATTTTACTTTTAGTACCAGTGTTAGGGCTTGAACTAGGGTCCTGGATGCTGTTCCTGAGGTTTTTTTTTTTTCCACTTGAACATGGGCTTTTTTTCCCCCATAGGTTTTATTAGAGATAAGTCCTCAGATCATGGCCTCCAGTAGTGAGCCACTGTAACTGCCTAATTATTCTATGGCTTAAATATGTTCTTTAAGCTAAATTACTGATAAAATAGTTTAAGAACGAAGCCACTTAACCATGTCCCTTTTCTTGTCCTTTGAAAAACAAGAGGAAAGGTTTTGCTTTGTTTTGAGATTTTCAAAATCATCAAAACTCTCAGCAAAGTATTTTGTAAAGGGAAGTAGTTATGAAGCAATTGTGTGCAATCATTCACAAATCTATCAACCTTGACTCGCCAGCTTTTAGCTGTGCTTTTCAATTCTCATGCCCTATCCTGCTTCAAAACACCGCCTCTCACCTTTTGTTGATTTGAGAGTGGTGTTGGTGGGGCAGGGAAGTCAGCCTCTTTGCTTCCCTCAAAAAGCAGCAGATGCCTGTCTTCCCAGCTTCCTGCTCACTCTGTAAAAAAAAAAAAAAAAGGAAAACACAGTCTTCTCACAGACACCAAGATACACATCCTCGACAGGTCTCTCTGAGTTTCTCCCTCTCTATTTTGTAAAAGTCCCACCAGTACAGTGAGCATTTTATTTAGGTATCTTTGTGACACCTTGAGGACATCTCAGTGTCTCTGACAACCAGGTCAACTTGAAAGCAGTCAGCTCATACAAAGCTTGTGTTTTCCCTCGCAGTAATTGAAGGCTGAGGCTGGCTGCTCTTGCTCCAGCCTCCACACATGCTTGAGGTTGGATCAGGAAAGTGGATATAGCCTTTCACTCCTGTAAGCTCAGCCCTATGTCTCATCGTAGCATTTGGCAGAAAGTACACAAACAATTTGTGGTGATCTCTCTTCACGACAACTTCCTGCTGTGTCTGGAGGTCTCCTCCACATCTGCTTCCATTTGGTTTGTCCCAATTGGGAAAGCAACTAAATGCCCTTGCACTTGCTAGATAGTGCTTGAACTATGTCCCCATATACTTTTGCTTTAGTTACTTTTCAAACAGTGCCTTATACTTTTTGCCTGGACTACAACTTTCCCACTTATATTTCCTATAAAGCTGGGCTTACAAATGTGAAAACACCATGCCAGGCTTGTTTTTTTTTTTTTTGAGAGGATCTCACTGTTTTGTGTTTTGCATGGGTTGGTATCAAATATTTATGGTCCTGATAAATATCACATACGTAGCTTTAGAAGTGGTGAGAGAACAAAATACCAGAAAAAGTGTCATCCATTCTAGTTGTAAGAGACTAGAGCTGAGGGCAGGCTTATGTTGCATAGTTCTCATTAGAGAAAGCTTTCATTGACAGTTTTACCCTTCAGGATATTTTTCTCAGTAAGAATTGCGAACAAGCCAGGTGCCAGTGTTTCATGCTTCTATTCCTAGCTACTCAGGAAGCTGAGACCTGAGAATCATAGTTTAAAGCCAGTCTGGGAAGGAAAGTATATGAGACTCATCTCAAATTAACTACCAAAAAGCTAGAAGTGGAGCTATGACTCAAGTGGCAGAGTGCTAGCCTTGAGTAAAAAAAAGGTTTAAACCCTGAGTTTAAAACCACAGGACCAGGGGCTGGGAAGATGGCTCAGTGGTAGAGTGCTTGCCTTGCATGCCTGAGGCCCTGGATTCGATTCCTTAGCACCACATAAGCAAAAAGAAAAAAGCCGGAAGTGACGCTGTGGCTCAAGTGGTAGAGCACTAGCCTTGAGCTGAAGAGCTGAGGGACAGCGCCCAGGCCTAGAGTTCAGGCCCTACGACCAGACCAAAAAAAAACAAACCACAGGACCAGGACATAAAAAAGAGAAAGAAAAAGGAAAAAAGTAAAAGTGAAAAATGGCAATAATTATTATGTTTATTTATCATGAAACAGAAGTACCTTAAAGTAATTTCAACTTAGGTCTTCTGAATATTTGCAACTAAAATGTATGTCTTCTCATAGAATTCTGATAAAAATGATGATTGATTTAAAAATAGTTCATCATTGTCAATAAAGGCTTAGAAAGGCATACGAACTTGACACTTTATGTCATAGAAAGAAATCGGGTGGAAGAATACATTCCAATGAACTACTTCTTGGATAGAAAGTTTAAGGATTCCAGGATTGTTTGTATTACAGAAAGGCAATGAAACGGATATGATGAGAATGATAGAAACAAATACAGCATTGCTTACTAGTGTGAATACTGTTGGAATGCCGTGATGGACTGGATTGGATCACATTCTTGGGTTTTAGTTTTATAGATACATTTCTCATATCTGGGCTGAACACTTGTGTTAGTCTCAATCTTTATTTAATCTCATCATCAATAACTACAAAATAAAGGAGGAGAATGTGGATTCTGTCAGGAAAGGGACTGGACTTCTAGCTTCATGCTTGAAGCTACCAAACCTGGTTCTCAGAATCCACGTTCTCAAGTCTAGCTCTGTTTAAAGCAAGAAAACAACTTGATAAAGTAGCTTATAGGGGACATTTCCCTATCTTTCCTGAAGCTGATGAGCTACCAGCCTACAATATTTAGGATCCTGTTGAGGAATTTGTAAACAATTGAGTTTACTGAGGACTAATCAGTTGTGAAATTTAGCACCCAGTATTTGACTCTTAATGTGAGAGGATTAACAGGGGAATTGCCAGTTTCCATGTGTGGAAAAGGAAAATGTACTTATTCCCTTTACTCTGTTATTGTCGACAGCCCCAATCCACATGCAAACAAGAAACAATAAGTTTCTGGCTCAACAATTCCTTTCTGTACCATTTATGTAGTTCTTTAGTGGTGTGTGTGTGTGTGTGTGTGTGTGTTTGTCGTAAAGCCTGTGGTTTTGCTAAAAGTGTGGTCTTAATTTTTATCTGATAAGCTTCCTTCTGTCATTAAAACATACCATGTCTATTCTATCCTAGCTCGATACAGATGCGCAGCAAATGTTTCTCCTTCTGATAACAATGATGGGAAATCCAGGCAAGGAATGAGTTGTTTTTGTTAACATAGCTCCTTAAATCTCAGACAACAGCTAAGCTGTCAGCTAATTGCCCTTCTGTGTCCCAGGCTTTCACTGGGGCCTTCCAAAACACACAAAAGCCAAGTGAAGGCAGGACATCATTAGCACTACATAATTCAAACAAACACTCCATGTGTTTACTCTGCCTGGCTGCTGACCACCTGCCTTGCCATTCCTCCTCCGGCAGGTATCTATATATACAATGTCCTGTTCGCAAGTCCTGCAGAGTCATCCTCTCCATCTGTGAATTGAACCCTTGACAGCATGCATCTCCTCCTACTCCAGCTGCTTGTGCTTTTGCCTTTAGGGAAGGGCAGCCTTGGCCGGGATGACAGACGAAGTCAGAGTTCTCTTTCCCTTGTGCTCCTGGAAAGGAGTCGCAGGGAGCTCCCTTTGCACAATCAAGAGGATGCTGAGGACAAGCCAGATCTATTTGTGGCAATGCCACACCTGATAGGCACCAGCCTGGCAGGGGAAGAGCAAAAGCAGAGAGAGAAGATGCTATCCAAGTTTGGAAAGTTGTGGAAGAAGCCTGAGAGAGTGCTGCACCCTACCAGGGAACTGGAAAGAGAACGCTTCCCACCCAGGGTCCAGGACATCCCTCAGCCAATGGATGGAATGAAAATGGAGAAATCTCCTCTTAGAGAAGAAGCCAAGAAATTCTGGCGCCACTTCATGCTCAGAAAGGGCCCGGCTTCCCAGGGTGTCATCTTACCCATCAAAAGCCATGAGGTACACCGGGAGACGTGTAGGACAGTACCCTTCAGCCAGGTATGTGTGTCCAAGGGGAGAGCACACCGGGGTCTGTGGGAGTAGGGAAAGCTGGGACAGATGGAGGGGACGGAGAGAGGTTAATAGGAGCCTGAGTCTCATCCAACGCCAGTTGTGGACCTTGGGCACTCATTACAAAGATTTGGCTGGGTAGGCTGATCTCCCCTAAGTTTCCTTCCTACCTCTCTATTGGTTCTTGCCATGCTAGATATGGTCAGAATAGTGTGCTGCAGCTGTCAACATCAGAAATCATCATATTGATGGCACAGAGCTTTGTTTTACTTATTTGTCTCTAGTGGAACTGATCTCTCCATAGAGGCCAGTCTGTATTTAGTTAGGGAACTGAGAATGTACAGCAACCTCCAGAATTTCTGGGCAGCCACATTTCTGCACTCTGAGGATGTTAATGATCAGATTAACTCCATCTGTTGGTAAGGCAGGCTATACTGGGCTCCTCCCAGATGTCTTCACATCCCTTTCTGATGGTTTTCATTGCCCCTAACGACTTCACAGATTAATAAAATTCTTCTTCTCTAGTAGTTATCAAATCTATTCAACTTTTAAAAAATTACCCTACAACCACAATGTTGAATTCTCAGGAAAAAGGGTGCTATATAATTTCTAGTCTTATGATCACAACAACAACAACAAAAACTTTTCTCATAAACTTTCCAAAAAATCTTTTATTGTTATTTTTTATTGTGAAAATACTGTACAGAGGGGTTACAATTACACGGGCAAGATAATGAGTACATTTCTTATCAAGCATTGTAGCCTCCTCCTTTGTTTCCCCTTCCTATCCCTTCCCATCCTCCCCCCCCCAAAAATCTTAATGTGCAAACACATCTCCGCCTTCATCTGGTTCATCCAGTGTTCTGATTCATGTTGTTTTAGCTGCTTTGTTCTTATCACAATCAATTCTATATTATTCAAACAAAGGGAATTCTACCATCTATTTTTTTCTGGTCCTGGCAATCTCCACATTTCAAATGCTATGTTAAAATAGAGAAAATGCATCAGGTCCTTAATCATGGAGACATTGAACCAAAAGCAATGCAGAGTAGAGTAAAATTTAACAGCCCAGTAACACTACCCACTTCAGCAGACCTATCATAAGGCAATTGACTGTGCATGGCAGCTAAGTATTCTGCTCGAAAAGGCAGGAATATATAGCAATGGCAAGTCAATCATCAAATAATAATGACTACACTGTTGGCTCATGTGCAATTAGAGAATTGCTCCTAACAATCAGGCAGTCAAATTTCCTTTGAAATTCTTATTTTGAACTCCCTTTCTGGTTAGATTAATATTAATGTATTTGACCCTGACACATAAAAGTAGCTGTATGTGGTTAAGAGAGAGGCGGTGGTGATGTCATACAGGTACATGATCTGTAGTTCTAGCTCATGTGACGTCATAGATTGAATGCAAAATAAGACAGTATTAAGTTTGTGATGTTCTGGTCTATTCTATCATCAATTGAACAAGTATGTGTGCAGAACCTACTATGTTCAATGCACTGTGAGGAATAGAAAACTAAGACAAGTAAGAAGAATGACGTTAGGATTTTTATAGCTAGTTGTATCCAACGAAACAAAATTTCTTAAACCTTGACATTTATAGTGTAAACCATATTAACTTAGGGATATTGCCTAAAGGCTAATTTAATAATTGACTCCATAAAAAAAGTTTAGTTGAGATAGCTTTCATGTGCTGCACGGATAGATACGATCACCCGGATATTGCGAAATATATTCCAAGCTGGAAAGCTTTCTGTAGCTTCTGAATCACACTAATTGGGGAAATGTCGCAGAAAATGTAATAGAAATACGTTTGCTTTTTTTTAGACTATCTTCCACGAGGACTGTGAAAAAGTAGTTGTCCAGAACAACCTTTGCTTTGGGAAGTGTGGATCTGTTCATTTTCCTGGAGCTGCCCCGCACCCTCATACCTTCTGTTCCCACTGTTCACCCTCCAAATTCACCATGAGGCACTTGCAGCTGAATTGCACTGGCCTCACTCCGGTGGTCAAGGTGGTGATGCAGGTAGAAGAATGCCAGTGCACAGTGAAGACAGAGCATGGACATGGACAGTTCCTACAGACTGGCTTCCAGGATTCATTTATTCCAGGAGTTTCAACTTAAAATGGTAGCCCACAATTTTGTTTTGAAAAAAGAAAGCTCAGCAGCAAGCTGATGACTTTGTAGTCTGGAAATGTAAGTGGGTTCATGTCTAAGGGGAAAGCTGATTTAAAAACAAATCATTTAAATAGGGATACAGGTGGACCCATTGCAACAATGAGATGTACAAGTCGTATGTCGAAAATGAACTTTACAACTTTGGTGGGTGGGAGAGGAGGTTTGGGTGTGTGTGGGGGGAGGATGGGATGGGAAGGGGAAACAAAGGAGGAAGCTACAATGCTTGATAAGAAATGTACTCATTATCTTGCCCATGTAATTGTAACCCCTCTGTACAGTATTTTCACAATAAAAAAAGTCAACTTTCAAAAAAAAGTAGCTGTAAGAGTATACTTTAGAGGAAATGGTATTCGTCTAGATATTGATGCACATGTAGAATTTAGTCTTGGCTCTGGTTGTAGATTATTAATAAGCAGGAGAAGCTTTCTCATCTGAAGTTATTCACCTATAAATGGAGGATTAGATGTGGGTTGATTGTTAAAAACCTGTTCAATTCTAATATATACATTTTTGGTAAAGAAGAAAAAGAAATAAGCTCAACCATGAAAACAGGCTTTGTTAATCATTTTTCAAATCACCAGCAAGAAAAAATAAAAAGAGAAGAAAAAAGGAAAATTTTTCTTTAAAAAAAGAGTCCTTGTTCTTGTAATTACCTTTGTGTCTTCGGAGCTATTTTAACTTCTATTAGACAACTGTTTCCATAGATGTGAGAAGTCACTAATTTGGTTGCTTTCTTAAATTTTTAAAAAATATTTCCCATGTAAAATTCTTACTGTCAGGTCTCTGGCTTTATAAGAAACACTTATTCTACTCTTAGTATTTACATGAAAAAGAGGACACTCATTGGTAGCCAAGCAGGTACCAATATTAGGAGCAAAGAAACACATATGACCAGTGTCAATTTCCAAGGCTACTCCAGAGATGTTAAGGAAAGTAGCCAGGGGTCAGATTAAATAAGTTGCAAATAGCTTAGACTGGAAACAATTTGCTGGTGGAATGTGTGTGTGTGTGTGTGTGTGTGTGTGTGTGTGTGTGTGTATATATATATATGTACATATGTATATACATATATCCATATATATACACATTTCATATATATATCCTTTTGGATTTATCAAGTAAAGTTTCTGTGATTGGATGTGTTCTGTTTTTATTATTATTTTATAAAATTATGTGTGACAATTCTCTTTGAGCAAATGCTACAAGGACAAGTTTTACAAATATTAAATATATGAATGTTTTAAATGTATTAAATCTTAGTGTATGAAGCAGTCTTGGCAATATTGTGGCATGAAAATGCATTCTATTTTGTTCTCACTCATCTGTTTCATAAGTGATAGCTACTATCACTGGGACATGGCCCGGATCCATGTGTTTCTGAGATGCCTTCCTTGCCTTATGACCTTAGTTGTGAGCTTTTGTTGATATTGCTAGCAACCTTCTGTGTGTTAAGGCTTTCGGTCAGTCCTTAAACAATTGTCTCACTCCCCCTGCATTTACTTGTGTGCATATATTGTGGAGAACTGGCTTTCTTCAGCTCAATTACTTGTTTAAAAAATACTTTTTCTAAAGATTATTAAGAAAATTACTCATTTTGAGTCCCTTAACTTTCAGTAGACACACACACACACACACACACACTCACACACATACACACACAGTCTCTCTCTCTCACACACACTCACATATTTCTGAGTAATGACTTATTATTTAACAGAAGAAATTTGTATATATTTTAATTTTATTCCTCTTTAATCACCATCTAACATGGTGTTGTGAAGGAGCAAATGCATGTATATTTAGTGTGTGTTATGCAACACATCAGTTTAACAGAATATGAGCCTCCCAGATACACATGTGGCCTTTACAGCAGACTGTATTATACCCTTTGGTGGTCAAAGGCAACTTAATTGGCCAAGATGTGGTCATGAGGATAAAATTGTTAAGCATTAATGATATCCCAGCTGGTCAATATATTTTGGTGCCAAAAGCTATTGAACAGCTGTCTAGTTTGCAACTGCCTAACCCTGATTATGTAAACCTATCTCTGCCAATTGGAATCTCCTATTCTCCTTCCGTCCTTGCAAACCCCTTTTATCTACAGTTGCAAATAGACTTTTATGCCCAATTATCAGTTTTATTCAAACTCTGGCCTGCCCTCCCTTCATGTGTAAATTCCAGATGGGATAGCTTATGTTCATGGATTAATCGCATGAACCTTGTGAAATTGCCCATTTATAGTAATTTTTACTCACCAAAAAATGGGGCACTTGTCAATGGTTCAATGCAGTTTGTGGGAGCATAAGAAACCTAGAGAAAACATACAAATAGTGAACCGCTATTATATTCCAGATATTGTGCTGTGTCTTTTGAAAAAGGTACACAATCAAGTCATGAAAACCGACTGAAGTAGGTAATGTCCCCATTTTACAGGTGAGGAAAGGAAGTCTTTCAAGTGGAAGCCATTTACTTAAGATCACACACAGTGTGTTGTCTATTTTGATTTAAACATTTTCTCATTCGTTCTCCATTGGTTTTGATTTATGTCTCCCAAGTCTCTTACCTATAGGACATAGTGCTAACTTTTTGTTTTTTTTTTTTTACCTCTGACCTAGTTCTTATATCTGAAGTATCCTGATGTCATCTCTTGAAAGATAAACCATCCTGGGTCAGGTTCTCAGCCCAACATTGCCCTGACTTGATTGGATCCCATAGCAAGCGCCTCCATAAATCCCCCTCTCACTTTCCTCTCATAAATATAAGGTTGCTAATAATTACCTCAGAATTATGATGGTGATCAAGGGTAAGTAACAGCACTTTAGAGTGCCTTAGCTCCTGCAAAACCAAAAAAGCAAGGAATGAATCCACTCTTTTCCTTTCAGACTTTTTATCACTTGCTTTAGAAAAATGTAGAAGGCACTAGGAAGAACAAAAGGATACAAAATACACGAACTCCCATCATTAAAATATTTAGCATTTTGGCACTGTGTGTGTTTAATCTATTTTCTAAAAAAAAAAAGAAATAAGCCTGTTTCAGATATAAATAAGTTCTGCTGGTTGTGGTGGCATATACCTGTAATCCCGGCACTTGGGAGGTTGAGGGAAAAGGATGAAGAGTTTAAGGCCAACCTGTGTTATATAGCAAGATGGTTTCAAAAAGATAGATATAACTCTCTAACAAGCAGGCTGATTTCCATACCTCAAACCTCTATCTAGTGAACATCTTATTCCACAGAGATTTATTCTTCGGGTCCCCTTTCATGATTTTGCACATTCTTTTTTTTTTTTTGGGTCCGGTCGTGGGGCCTGAACTCTGGGCCTGGGCGCTGTCCCTCAGCTCTTCAGCTCAAGGCTAGCACTCTACCACTTGAGCCACAGCGCCACTTCCGGCTTTTTTTTTTCTTTTTGCTTATGTGGTGCTGAGGAATCGAACCCAGGGCCTCATGCATGCAAGGCAAGCGCTCTACCACTGAGCCACCTTTCCAGCCCCTGATTTTGCACATTGTTATAGGTAGCAGGAGATAATATACAGAATTACTTTTGTGTATATGCTTACCTTCAATCAGCAGGTGTATATGGGTTCAGATCTGGAGAAGCGGGGTCAGAGGTGTAGTAAGAGTGTATGTCAAACAAAATCCATTTTAGAGGGTGTGGAGGAGGCATGGACTCTGAAAATCAATAAACTCATCAATTAATCAATCATCTGTCGACCAAAATTAGCAGACAGCAATAAGTGGGAGGCAAAGAAATTGTACTATGGACTGACTACTTGTGATTGAGTAGTCTCTGAGAGGTGGCCCTTAAAGCTGTGTACTTTTAATCACCTACTAGGTATTCTCCAAGAATATTTTCCAATCATCTTTTCCTGCCTTGTGTTTACAAGTTGGTAGGTATTTGTTCTCAAATATTTTATTTGTATTTTAGAAATTTGCCAATCAGTATTGTCTGTAGAGAAAAGCTATGTTAGCTCTGATCATTTTTTTCTCACTGTAATTTTTTTTTGGCATTTAGGGTGGGTTTATTTCTTGCACATACAACATACAACATTTTACTATCGGAAACAGACAGGAAACATGCTTCTTACTGATTATCCTATAAGTAACAAATGGTTTTACTTATACTTCAGAAAAACCTGATTTCAGGTTGAATGATGCTTTAATTTTAAACCTCTGTAAAAATGAAGGACACAGGGGCTGGGAAGGTGGCTCAGTGGTAGAGTGCTTGCCTCGCATGCAGGAGGCCAGGGTTCGATTCCTCAGCACCACATAAGCAGAAAAAGCTGGAAGTGGCACTGTGGCTCAAGTGGTAGAGCACTAGCCTTGAGCTGAAGAGCTCAGGGACAATGCCCAGGCCCAGAGTTCAAGCCCCACGACAGACCAAAAAATAAAAAAGTGAAGAACACAATTTCCTTTATCAGTAGAATGTATTCCTTTTTAATTTAAGGCCATTTAGTCTCTGAATTTTTAGAAAAGATTTATTTAGTGAAAGATACTTAAATTTAAGAGAGGTAGAGGTAAATAAGATACATTTTTCTGCCATCCCAAGGCTTACAATGCAATATCAGAGATAACCCATGTAAACTATAAGACTAGTAAATACAGCTGTAATAGTAAGAGCTACTAATTATTACTGAGACTTAACTGTGTTCAAGTACTTTCTATCTCTTGTCTTGTAGAAGGCTTTTCATTATCTTTTTTCTGGTATTGGGGATAGAACCCCAGGTCTGGCACATACTAGAAACTATATTCCTTTTCCCTTTCTTTCTTTCTTCCTTCCTTTCTTTCTTTCCTTTCCTTTCTTTCTTCTTTCTTCTCTTTCTTTTCCCTTTTTCTTTCATTTCCCTTTCTTTTTTCTTTCTTTCCATTTCTCTTTCTTTTTTCTTTCATGTTCCTTCCTTTCTGTCTTCTTTCTCCTTCCTTTGTTCTTTCTTTTCTCATCCCTAAAGA